CGAGAAAGTTTAAATAAATGGCCGAATTCCTTTTGTTTCTTTTCTCTTTTACCATATTTAATTTTTTTCTATGTTTTTAATTTCATTGTCGGGAACATATTCCCCCTTGAATTAAATGCCGTAAAAAATAAAAAAAATTAAGGGATATTATGTTTTTCCCTTCTCCCCTACTGGTCGTAATCCCTTTTCCCCATCTTTAATTATGGTACTAAAATAGACAAAAATTTGAGCCCTCCGTTGATGTGTCGAGTGCGACCACCCATCTCGCCATCTTTGAGGGTCACCCGTAAGGTTCAGCGCGCCCAAAATCAAGGGCGCCCTGAGCTCCCCTAATTTCCGCTGCCTGGTCTAACCAGAGTACCGTCAAAACTCAGACTCGTCTTTGCGCCTAAGTCCCAAGACCGTAGATTTCAGGCGGCGCACTGCTTGTGGCCACCTGACAGTTAGCCCGGACCACTTCTCGACGCCCTCGTCGAGCCCTAGCAACTTACGTCAGACGAAGCGGATGACCCGTAAAGGTCGCCCACGTCGGCGTTTAATTGTCTTATGTTTCAATTTGTTATGAGTCCTGGGGCTAAGAAGATGCTTATTGACTCTCCTGTTTCTTTTGGGATGGGACCTTAAAGAGTGGTTGAGGCACTCGACTGGGGTGTATATATGATAGCAGAATTAGACGGATCTAAGTGGAAGGACCCGGTGGCGGGTGCTAGGTTAAAGCTGTTTAGGCCCAGGCCCGCGCCCGCCTTATCGCTGACCAGCCTGAGAGGGAAAGGAAAAGCCATAATGGAGGATGGAGCCCCCTTGAGGCAATTCGAGGCAGGGGAGAGTTCCAAGAAACGGAAAAGAATAGAGAAGAGAAAAGTCAAAGGGTTAGCTTTAGGAAGAGAGAAGAGATGGTTATTCGTGCTCAAGCAGCTAGACGGAGAGTTCACGTTAGACATACTGGCGGGTCGACACCCTTCTCGGGGCAAACACAGAAGAAAAAGAGGATCGTGCCAGTACTGGGCCGCTTGTCTCCGGATATCTGATTCTTGACTCTCCTTTCCTGACAAATGTAGCCCGATCATTCGGTATTTGCCCTCGTAAAGGTTAACCAGAAAACGCTCAGTGGGTCCTGGCTCCGCCATAGTCAAGGCCCCAACTACTATCGGGCGCTCGGCCTCAAGAGGGATGCGCGAAAGTCCGTCTGCCACGGCATTTTTAGTGCCAGATATCCTCTCAACCGTGTAATCGTATAGCCGAATCCGTATTAATCATCGAGCGATGGTCGGGTCCGTCAGACTAAAGTCCTTCTGGAGGACAGAGGCAACCGCGGTGGGGTCTACTCTCAAGATGAACTGTCGCCCATAGATATAGTGTCTGAACGTGTCTAGACACCGGAGAACAGCTAACACTTCCTTCTTGAATTGACTGTAGTTACGCTCAGCCGTATTAAGTGTCCTACTCTCAAATTTTAACGGTCTTTCCTTCCCTCCAGCGTCCTTCTGAGACAGTAAACCACCTACTGAACATGGTCCAGCATCCGTGGAAACTATGAAGGGTTTCTTGGTCTCATCGTCAAAGAATGGCACGCCCAACACGCGTCCTCCCTCCTTAAATTCGTCTTTAAGTTCTTGCATAGCGAGTTCCTGCGAAGAATCCCAATAGAATTTTTCAGTCTTTCGAAAGAGTAACCTCAATGGCTCAACCTTCTCCGCATACCCCCGTACGAATATACGCCAGTAACCGACCACTCCTAGAAACTGCCGGACCTCGGTTGGGCTATGTAACAGTGACGGCCAGTTCAGAAGTTTGTATAACTTCGCCGGATCGGCTCGGCGTCCTCTCGAGTCACAGATAAAGCCCAAGATCTTAATAGTCGAGACGGCCCATCGGCTCTTTGTTCCGCTGACTGTTAAATTTGCATCGTCCAGCTGCTCGAGTACCGCGCAAATATTTGTTAGGTGCTGCTCGATGAATCTTCTAACTCCAGGTACAACCTCTGTCTCATCCCTGTCTACTGGCCCTTTTATAGGAAAGTCATCCAAAAAAACTTCAACCTTATCAGGGATGAAGTCCTTGAGGACGGCTACCATGGCTCTCTGAAAAACTGCTACCCCATTAGTCTAACCCATAGGGACAACCATCATTTGTATTAGTCCCAATGGCGTATGCATAGCCGTGAAGTGYCTGTCCCTAGGGTCAAGCGGTACCTCATCATAACCTGAGAACAGATCACAGACCGAATAAATCGACCTACCTGCGGCGCCTTCTGCCAGTAAATCGGCGTGTGGCACGGARCCCACGTCTCGTATCGTCACCGCGTTGACCTTCYGAAGGTCCTRGATCCATCGGATCTTGCCATTCGGCTTTCGTAGGAAGAACCATCGATTAGCATAAGCGCTATCAGACGGTTCCGCAACGTGGGAAACCATTTTTTCTTTCAGGAAAGCGATAACTTCTTCCTTCTCCTTCTGGGCGTATTTCCATCCTGCGTCATTCCAAGGAACATGTGGAATCGTGTAAATCCTCGCTGGCTTAGCGTATTGAGGGTCAATCCTACCGCGCTCCGCGTCGCTGAAAGCTATTGCCTTATCACATGTCTTCAAAATTTCTATCACACGTTCTCGCTCCTGTGGGGTCAGATTTCCATCTCCGATGTCCATCCTTGCTGCCCTCTCTTCCGTTAGGCGTTGTGGCTCCTTTCTCTTTCTTTCTTTGATTTCTTTCGCGATCTCTTTTTCCGATATCCCTTCTAGTGCAGATCGCTCGCGGCCTACCGCCGCTGGCTTAACTTTTTGAGCTACTCGCTTGTGTCGCTTGGGTAGCCCCCCATAGGGGGCCGTGCCCTTAAAAAAGACACGGATATCACACCGCCAAATTCCTCATCTTTTCCCTTTGGGTACGAGTTGCCATCCACTATTAGCCGACTCCCTAAATCTTCCACCTCCACGATCCGACCTTCTTCCTCTGTGAGCAGTGGTCCATATTTCTTCACGAGAAATCGCACAGCGCGGTCGGAGATAGGTAACGACTTAATTTGATCACTGGGTCTCGCACCCACAGCGAGAGCTGCTCTGTTCCTCGGGTCCCGAGGCTCCACTGTCTCAATCATTACCCGTGTCC